ACACACACACACACACACACACACACACACACACACACACACACACACACACATACACTATGGGAGCTCCCATCCAGCATCTCCCTGGCAGCTGGCTCAGGGAGGGAGGGAGGGCTGCCTGCATTTGGAGACTTCACCTTCTCCAGACGGTAAGCAAACAGGAAGCCAGGGAGGAGTGATAATTGCTAAATTGACACTCTGACAGCACCTGTTGAGTTTCCTCTAATGATGTGAAAAGTCGGACACCCAGGGAATAACAGTTCCTTACGGTTGTTAGTGTTGGTCGTGATGTTCCATCAGAGATGACAGGAACAGGATCCCCCTAATGATTTGTAACTGTTCTGCTTCTCTGGCCTCCAAGCTCACAAATATCAGCAAACCAGGTACATAAGCTATGCCTGCCATGTGCCCTTCCCTGGCACTGGTCAAAGACACATTGAATGGGATAGTAGAGAAAGAACTGGAGACCCGCTCCTTACTAGCCAGATATCTATCGTGTTTATTTGGGGTACCAGGCTAGTTTCTTGGCCACTGAGCAGCAGTAAGAAGTCCATCATAAGATCAGAGAGGGAGCAAGCGTGATTGGCTGGCCTGACTAGGAGCATCCTAAGTGAGGAGACCTGAGATCAGCCTTGGAAGATGTGTGGCTTCTAAGAACAAGCCAACTGCCCTGAGCAAGGGAGCATGTCTTCCACGTCCACAGCCAAGCTGCAGCAGGAAGTGAAAGTGAAGGTGAGCTTGGGCTGACAATGGAGGAGAACAGTGCTGTTCTTTAGGTTCTTGCTCATAAGATCTCTCAAATACATGATCTCACTGAGCTGGGGCAGGAGCCACAGAGCCAAACTCTCCTAGAGATTCTCTTTCAAGGATGTGCATATGGCTTTGCAGGCTGGCATAAGTGTCCCAGTCTCACCTCCATGGAACCCAAAATGCTTGCATCTCAAGCTAGCCCTGAATTTCAAGTCAATAAGCATCTTCTCATTAGAGCAGAGTTCAGGTGACAGACAGAGACCCACCAGATGGCTGTGAAACCTTAGGCAAGCTCTCCAATGGTCCTTTCTTTCTTTGTACTTCAGCAGAGTTGTGACATGGATCAGTAAGGTCTCTCTCTCTCTCTCTCTCTCTCTCTCTCTCTCTCTCACACACACACACACACACACACACACACACACACACACACACACACATACCTGTTTCCCAACAGCTCTCTTTGAGCACCTTTCATTGACAGGTCCTGTGTTCCAAGACTTTCCCTTATTCTCCAGAAGTCATGGTCCCAGGAAGCAGAAAAGTCAAGAGTTGGCACAAGTAAACAACATCACTGCACATTTTGTGAGTGGGGATGAAGGGACACAGACCTTGATGAAGAAGGGCAGACGCATCTCTGATTGTGTAACTAGCTCTCACCAGACTTAAAGTTTCATAGCAGGTCTCATGTATAGCATCAGAGAACAGAAACATAATGCTACCCTGCCTTGGAATCCAGCTGGGTGATATTGGGCAAGTTACTTACCCTTGTTACATCTCTACCTTCTGTCTAAAAATTAACGATCATAATCATGTCTAATGCAGAGAGTTTTGGGAAGATTAGATAAATTAGTGTTCAGAACAGTATCTAAAAAGAACAAGAACAAGATATTTTTGGCTCAGCTATTCCAAGTACTAGGCCTCTGACTTGGGTTGGTGAGCTGTGTGTGTGTGTGGGGGGGGGGGGTTGTGGGTGTGTGTGGGTATTTTCCTTTGTTTCCACACATACAGCCTCATTCTAGAAAGAGTTCCTAGAATTGTCATTCTCTTCTCAGTAAAGCAGGACACACAGTGGATGCTCAAAAACAGTTGATAAACGTATGTGAATGGTCTTTAAAAGGCTTTCAAATTTGTTTGCCTGAAGGAAATGAACAGATAAAGCTTTTCAAATATTCCAGTTGGGTTCTTGGTTGGCCTTCCTCTACCTCCAATATCCATACAAATATTGTGAAGCCCAAATCCACAGAGTTGAGCCCCTCAGCCTCTATATTTCCTGGTACTTAGGAAGACTAAAAGTGAGATCTCTCTTCCTCCCTCCCTCCCTCCCTCCCTCCCTCTCTCCCCCCACCTCTCTCTCTCTCTCTCTCTCTCTCTCTCTCCTCCACCTCTCTCTCCCTATCCTCCCTCTCCCTCCCCATTCTGCCTCTCTGCCCACCCCCTCTCCTGATACAAGGACAGCCATGTTCCCTTCCCCTCCCACCTACTCTAAAATCCAGCAGCTGATGGGTTTCTAGGAG